GACCCTAACCTTTTACCTCAATGTTTTATATCCAAAACCATTGCAGAAAGCTGACAACAGAAAGTTACTAGTAAAATGCATTCTAGCAAACCATATGAAGATTCTTCTCTTCCATATTGGCCAGTAAGAATGTCCCACTTTAAGACAGCCAAATCTAAGATAAATCTGGTGATTTAGTTTCATATAGGTAATACTATTAATTGTTTTAATATGCAATTAAGGAATAGTCAGTGGGCTGTAGGATTTTATAAGGCAATAATCCTGTTCCCTAGTGTACAGCTTTGTCCCAAAGAGTAGGTTATCCAAAAAAAAAAAAAAAAAAGCTGGATGATTGCCAAATCAAACAGCACCTTCTTCCCATTTTCAATTACATACAAGTGAAGCAGAGTAATGAGGATATACTGGAAACTTTGACATTTATTTATTGAACATTTTTACTGAGAAGGAATTGCTGGCTTGCTAAACCGGAAACTATATTTTTACTGCAGAAACAATCACACAGAAAACGAGCATCCTGCTGCTCAGCAAGAAAGGAATGGATAGAACCTATAAATTGACCCATTTAAATCAGCAACGTTAAGGTTATTTCATTGAATGCAGTATATATTTCAAATATCCCAAACCCCCAAATATGGTATACATTTCAAAATCCTCATGTCATGCAATTTTACATTGCACTGTCTTCTGTGTCAGTGCTGACCCAGGTTAGGCTCTGTAACAGTTCATAGGTACAACAATCAGGACATAACAAACACATTAAAAAGGAAAAGGTGTAGAAGGGACAAATGAAAGATAAACCAAATTGCAAGAAGAAATTCAGAAGATTTTCTCCCCTCTCAGGAGATTCTAGAGACTAAATAACCAAAAGATGAAATGGGAAATAACTCTCATCACACTGCATGTCCTTTTTTTCTTTTTGGATAAGACTAACTGCTTTAATTCCCTTTTACTACAGAGAAGAAAAATGAAGAGAGGGTAAATGAAGAGGAAGACAGGGAAGTCAACATTCTTTGAAGGAACAACATATGGTGACCAGGCATGAGAGATGGAGGTTATAAATCTTTCCTTGGTAGAATTACCTGAAGATGAAATTGCAGTTTCAAGGGGCTTGAGCTTTTAAAATCACACTAGAATCTAGGAAATTAACCTGCACGGTTACAAATTTTGCAGTAACCTTCATTTCCAACATTTATTTGCAAAGTTCAGGATACTGAAAATTTTGTTACTAATGCAGATGTGGTCAAAAAAGATCATGTAAGTCTCCTTCACTTGGCAAATCACTCAAAATAAATATAAAAAGATATGACAATTAAGAATTAGAGGAAAATACTGCATCCTGCAAACAGCCACTGCTGTACAATATACATAGAAAGGGAAAGGAGACAGAAGGTAGGCTGGTGCTTGGTTCTTTGTGAGAAGAAACTTATTTAGGGATATGAAAGTATACAGGAAAAGCTCTTTACTGTTCCACTCTTTCTGACCAATCGCCCAAGAAAACAAAGAGTGAGAATCCTTTTGTTTCACATGTACTTCAATCAGGTTCATCATACAGTGATATGTAGCTAAGTCAGTCAGCTCCCTGTCCTGTGGATCAACGATCCTCCAGTCCGTCTGTCTCTGAAGCACACTATTTCCAGATCCCAGTGTTGGGATGCCACAGGACTAAGGATCAGCATAGTACAGGAGTATGAGAGTAACAGCACATTCAGATACATTATCCCTAAGGAAATACCAGCCAGTTCCAACATATTTCCCAACCATTAATCTAAATAAAGTCTAACTCTAATTACTGTGTAAGGTTAACATATCTTTGGGTCTTCCCTAGATGACTCACCTTTTTTTTCTCCCTACTGAGAAGTGATGCTCTGACGGATTTTGAGGATCTTCTCTAGGTATCCAGATTTTCTGAGCGAACAGCAGACTGCTGGAGCAGTGGCTCTGACTTAGTTGCCCCATGCCCAAAAAACCTCAACACTGACAGCATGGGAAAGTCAACTGTAACACTTCAGGTACGCTATATCCCTAAAGCATCTGATTTACTGTGCAGATACAAGAACAGCCCTGCTCAGTAGGTTCACCAGCTCCTAGAGTTCTCACCACACACATTTCTGTATGGGATTCCCAGGCAGAAGCTTGGCAGCACTACTACTATTGCTTATCACTACTGAATTTTACATGTCTTTTTGACAGCCAGTACTTCTGTTAGCAGAGCATGTTAGAGCTGGATCAAGATCATCAGAAGTGATTTTGAAGGCTCTTGGTTTTGGGTGCTCTTTTCGAGCTTCCCTAAAGAGGCCTGAGTTCCAGAAAATGGAGAACTGCCAACCCATGAAAACCAGATGATAGCTTTTAAGCATTTTGATTTGACATCGAGAAGTGGAAATTCCCAAAAATCATACTGAGAAATGTGACCAAAATCACTGGGACAAATACAGTTAAGATCCCTCTTCAAATAAACAGAGCCATGAGGTTATTGGCAAAAAACCACACAATTTTCTCCAGCTGTTAGACTGAGCAAAGACCTTTGAAAGGCACAATAAATAAGCATCTACTAGAGGGCAGATAGTAACTTCCATTATTTGCAAAGACTGCAATGATGCTGAATATTTGTAGGAGCACCTCTAAGAAATTTCTGTTTTGCAAGATTTGTTAGAAAAATAAATGTAAGAGAGCTCTATTGAACTGCAATGCAAGACATATATTTCCCTCCCTCCCAAAGATACCTATACAGTTTCTTGTTTCTTGATCTCATATAGCTGAATTCCTTTAAAAATACTTTTACAGAAGCTAATGGTTTGCTGCATGATACCAGTGATATTGCCATAGGTGGCACCTCTTTAATAACAATCTTCTGAGCACATACTAAGTCAAAACCTCTAGTGAGCGGTTCCTTCCCACTGCAGAAATGTCCTAGCATCCATAACAGGACTCAGGGCCTCACCTTGCTCCCAGCGATCACCACAGGCAGCATGACAGAATGGAACAGGGTACACATGCCCAGTGACATTTATAATGCAACAGTCTTCAAATTAGTTTCCCTTTTTTGCAGAGATACTCCAAGGAAGTATATGGGCTTGATCTGCAACTCAGAGAAATAAATTCCTGCTAACTCGCATAAACCCTGGAGGCAAATCTTCTACAGGTAGCTGCTGAAGAACTGAAAAAGGTAGAGGCTACGTTTGGGAAATCAGACGCCGCAGGCAGTGCTGAGGCCAGTGCCTCAAATTTATATTTATTCTTTTTCTTTGTGTACATATATTAACTTCTCTGGTTCAAACTAAGATGGGAAGGGAGCATAAGGAGCCCTCCAGTCCTGTTCCCAACTGTCACAGGTAAGCACTTAAAGTTTAGCCCAAGAAGATCCATAGAGCCTGCTCTGCACTTACGACAAGCCACAAAACCTCCCTATAAGCCAGGAGTTAGGAACCACCCGACACATCATAACAGTAAAAGAGCAAACACTCTTTAAATTAAAAAAATCTCTGACACAACCGGCTCAAAGGATCTAGTTTCACTGAAAAAGATTTCTGAAGGAGCATGCTATGCTGACCGATACATACATACAAAATATGTATCTGTTCTGACATTCTTGGATACGCTTCTGAAATATTTTGGTACAGAAGGGTAGGGATAAACATGAAGTATAAATGAATATATCAAAATAATATAAAAACACATCAGACAAAATTTTTGCAGCATTAGATTTTTATAAATGTCATAAAGACAGACTTAATAAAAACAACTTTGAGGTGCACACTTATTGCATTACAGTGCAAAAAATCTTAAACCCGGAGAAAAATATCTGTGTATTTGAAGGCAGAAGATATGCAAAAGAGTAACAGAGGAGAAGGTATTAAACATGAAGTCCTCTCACCAAAAGCTGCTACTGAAATCAATTACATTCATCAAAAAGATCAAGTTCTAGTTACAAACACTATAATTAATAAATGCAGATACATTATATTGTACAATATGTTTGTTGCAATGCGAATAATTTTAATGGAAGAATTCTAATGAAAGAAAGCTGCTCTTCCTGCTAATCTATATTGCTTTGTAGAACATTCAAACTCCCTTTCACATTTGGAAAAATTCCAAACATGGGCTAGTCGCTCAATTGATGTTCATCTGTTTATTGATTCCAATGGTATTGCATCAGTTTAACCGGGCTGAGAAGCCTACCCATTTATTCAGGAAGTACATTCAGTTAAGTTTTAGTTCAAAATTTCATCTACAAAAATCTGTGCCTGATGTTATAAAGAAAAATACATCTAGAGACAGTCTTGAAAAATGATTTTGTACAAATGGATTGCAATGCAGTGTTTAGTGCCTATGTATAACAGGAGGAGAAGAAATGCCTTTCATTAGCCAAATTGACAGGTGGGAAAATAGATATGGTTTTGGTCATATAAGCCCTTCTTCAGGTCTCTGTGTATTACTATTGTTTATATAAATGCAAGTAAGTCATGCTCTGGCTGATCCACTGAAGATAAAAGCCTTACTGCTACTTTTATAACTGGTGAAGGATTAAAATTACATGAATAAACATCAAGTTCTATCCTCATTACTAACTCTACATTCACTGTGGGCCAAACAAGAGCTACAGGTGTGTCATTTCTACTGTGCAAATACTACTACATTGTTTCTCATGTCTAAGATTCCTCAATATTAAGAAAAATATTATAACTGAGAGGAAAGTCTGACCTTCTTAGAGAATCAGGACCTTCCTAAATTCCCTTGTTCGCCTGTAAAATTACATGGCCTAATTTCATAGAGAGCAGCTTATGCTTGCAGGTCTGCACAGTCACAAATGAATCTTCAGCACACCTAGGTAACATATGGAGTTAAAAAGGGGGTGGAAAGGAAGTGATACACGTGATGCTGGCACTTGTCTGGCTGTGCAGAAGGTAGCAACTTTTCCATTTGAATTAACGTCTGCACACGGTGCCAAACTACAAAGTGTAAAAGGCTATAAAATAGAAGGAAATCCAGGTACTGCATACCTGTATAGATGCAAAATCCCCAGAAGCACAAGCTCCAAGAATAGCAGCACCCACCAAAACAGACTCCACTTCTTTGGACAGGACAACAGGCTTGCCTATAGAAGAAAAAGCCATGTCTCTGTTAGGAAGAATGAAGCAGTGTGGCACTAATCGCAGACTAATTAAAGTAAAAAATACAAATTGAAAAGAAAGAAAAAAGGACTTGACTTGGAAACCAAGTTCACAACTCTACTCAGAGCTATGCTTCTATTGTAGACTATTGTAAATCTCTCGGTTCTGTGGTTCCAGGCTAAAGAAAAACGCAGAATTTAAATGAAATAATTTCAGCAAAATATTCATGCAGAACATAAAGCATACAAAGAACAACCCCCCAGATCTTTGACAACAGCTGCTGTTTTTCTCAAATAGCCTGGTATAAACCTGCTACCTACACCCTACAAACCCACCTGTCCATTAAGAGGTGACCTGGAAGGGAAAACAGGGTGGTAACCTTTTTGTTTCTTTTGCAATGCATAGAAAAGAGTTTGTTCTGTGTTTGTTTTTTAAATACATAATCAACAAAGCCAGTTTGCTTTTGCTGGAAGACATAAAAATATGAGCAGTAAGCTTTCACAAGCTAAACATGAAATCACAGAACTCCTGTCTTCCAAATTTTACAAGACATATGAAAAGGAGATTAAAACCCCAGAAAAACAAACTCACTATACATTTTGAAGAATTAAAATATTAACCACTTTCTACACAAATTAAGTTTTATTACCATGGGTAGTATCATGAGCATACTTTCCCTCAGTTCAAAGTTTTCTAAGATCTGTATTTTACTGCAAAAATAGCAGGAAAAATAGAGTAATAAACAAATAAAAGTTGCCTACTTTCTTAATTCTCCTTTAAAAACCTCAAATTATAGCATCTATCTAACTACTTTTCTACTTACTTAGTAGAAAAGCATCTACTTATTAGATGCTCACCCTCACTAAGCCAAATAATTTAATATTCCTACAGTATTTGGCATATGTGTACACTTCTGCAACTGAGATAATTTCATTCGATGACTGAGGATGCAAATACAGCGCTGGGAGATGGACTTCCTTCTGTGAACAGTTTCAATGATATTACTCAAAAATGCTGCTCCTGAGAGCCAATTGTACAATTAGAAAGAGCCGAAATTTGGAAGAGGATCTTCAGATCAGTGAGCCATGAAGTACTCCTACAGAGCCTTTCCCTCAAAAAAGACAAATAGGTACTTTTCAAAATGGGGAATAAAGTTATTAATTCAAGAAACAATTATTAATACAAAGCAGATTCATCTAGCATCCAAGGCATCCAGGCACATTATGCCAACTTTGCATTGTTCTACCAGAGTAAAGGCGCTTGCAATCAGCTTTCAGCGACACAGAGCTGTCACACTGGCCTTTTCGCCACTTCTCCCTCTAGTTAGCACAGACAGTGTCAGGGAAAGAAAGTGGATACAGTAAGGGCTTGTTGCTTGATTGCTGGAATGATTACTAACAGCATAGCAAAACTGGTGTAATTACACCATCCCTTAAACTTCTCTGAATTGTGACCAAATGACTCCATCTTAAAAACATTAGTGTAGGATCAGTCACCTGAGCATTCCTCCTCTTACGATGCACCCCATAGCTCAGGAACTGGGTCAGCTTCAGACACAGGTAGATAATCTAAAACTAGAGCTTACAGTTACTTGGGGTGTTTGCCAGGCTTTGAAGCAGGAGACAATTTTCAGCATGCTCTAGTATTTCCTGCATATTTCCCGCATCATCAGAACGCATACAGAATTCTTACCAGGCAAACAACACAATCAAGATACTTTCCGAGTGGCCTGCGAAACTATCTATTGGATGTTTGCATGACTGAGTCATGGGCATTTCTAGCTAACAATAATATATTCAGATTTTTTCTTTTTGTGAAAGAATGGGGGATTGATCCTGGAATGTTAGTTATTTTATCTGATAGGCTCTAATGAGTTCAACACAACCAAGAGCATTTCAGTTAGATGAACTCTGACATCCCTTGTCAGTCACAGATTTTACAAATGGGGGAGAACTACAGACTGCAAAAAGACCTTTTTATACTGAATTGTACTTGGCCACTAGTTACAGTCAAAGGACTCCTGATTGCATTTTAATCAGAATACCTCTTCACAGATCTTTTATTTCAAACATCATGGGCCAACATCACAACTCTACACGCAGCTGAAAGTCACCTAAAACATCTGAGTTATACAGGGAAAGATGTGCACTTGACAACATCATTTTTCACAAACAGAAAGAACCACTCTGACAACAACGTATTTAGTGAATTTTAGGTCAACGGCCATTATATATTTGCTTCTCCACTTCTGTTTTTTCTTCAAGTAATTACATAAAGCATATTTTTATCCTTCCTTCCTGCATCAAGGTTATGAAGGTTATGCAGGTTTGATGTCAGGACAAGTCAAACCTTCATACCAAATGCCCCAAATCTGAGCCTTAAATTTCATTCATGCCAGTTCAACTCGTCTTAACTTGAAATATACCCAAAATATACATCATTCCAAGTTTCACTGAAGTCCTTTAGACTCAGTTTTGTTATTTTTTCCATGTTTTTTGAGGCATATTGAACAGACTCACAGGTGTGCTAAGATACTCAATGCAGGCAGGCTAAGGGGAGATTAAAAATATCGTGCAAGCCTGAGACCTCTTCCTGTAAAGTACCATACATGCAGGCCCTTCCATCCATCAGGAATTCTACAAAAATCAAATGCAACACCATGCAGGAGCAAAGATTCACAAACTGAGTCCTAAATCATTTTAACGATACGAGCACTGAAGCATTTCTGGAAAAAAGGGTCCTGTATAATTGATAAAATGTCCAGTGTGAGCAAGAAGTGTCAGCAGAAGTCTTACAGAGTTCAAACAGGATGAAGCTAATAGAGGCTTCAGAAGAAATACAACATATCTCATGTAAAACATGCTCACAAAATGTACTGTGCATTATTCCTGTCTATTTTATCTTCTTGTAATCTGACTAATGGAATCATTTCCATAGAAAGTTTAGAATAATTTTTTAAAAATCTGATAGTGAAAAGCAGCTATTCATGCATAGTAGTTTTTAAAATTCCATACAAAGTTTTTATATTAATTTCCACTACACCTTCTTAGAAAACACTTAAAGGTAAGATCTACAGATTGGAAATCATGTTCAATGTTTCTATAGGAAGTCTGTTTTCTAACAATACAAATTATGGAGCTTTGTTTGCACCACATCTCTGTGTTATTCAAATGTCTTTAAATTTCAGGAAATCCAGTCTTTCGGGAAGTAACATTTCATTATACAATTTTTGGCCAAGCAGCAAAATACAGTTCTATATAAAGAAAGTATTTATTTTTCCAAAGACAAAGTATTTAGCCACCTAAAATAATAATGTCTTTTACACTCCTTTCCCCCCATTTCCTCTAACTTACCAGTAATGTCAGCGTGCATCTGCACGAAGAGGGGGTTCTTGCTCAGCCCACCACACAGAAACAGCGTGTTGATATGATGCCCTGCAGCCTGCATAGTTTCCAAAATATGTCTCGTTCCTAACTTCAGAAAAGGGGGGAAAAAATAAGAAAACAGATGAGCACAGGAGAGCAGACACAGGAAAAGAACATAAGGAACAACATGCTTAAAAGTGTGACAGAAATGCATAGATACTAACTGCCCCTAACAGTAACCTGGCGGCTGGGAATGGGCCTTGAGGGGTAGGGCCTCTGCTTAGCTTCTAGCCAATAACAGGCATTGTAATTAAGAACAAGAAAAATTAGACAGATGGCACAAAGAACTGGGAAGTACAGCAGCGCAGCAGACTGCAAGAAACATCCTGGGGCTGGCTGCAGGAGAGACCAGGTAGCTACCAGCTCAGAGTAACACAGAGAAACGGAGATACCAGGGACCAGTAGTACCTCCACAGCCAGAGACAGTGGTTATGAGAAGGCATAGAAATGGGTGGCAGGAAAAACTGGGGGCAGTGATAAGCAGCTTTTTGTGACCAAGAGCTGCAGGGTACAAAAAACATTTCTGGAACTAAGCCCTACATGGCAAGGCATCCCCATCAAAATTTCCTATTCGCTTTGCATTACAGCATCTGAAAAATCACTCTCAGCATAGAGATTTCAAATCTGGAGCCAAATAGCAAAATAGAACAACCAGAAAGAATCAAATGAAAGCTGTATATTTTCTTTTCAGCAAAAAGGAAAACCTGAAGAACTTTCTATTGGCTTAACTCACTACTTTTGCCTTACGTGGTTCAAAATAAATGCTCCATTTCATGCCTGGATTAATCGAAACATATCTAAAACACAGGGATATTTTTAAACTCTTTTTCAAAGTCTACACTTTGATAAAGTCAAATTATAAAAGTTCAGTGTTCCACTCTGTAAATGATGAAAGCAAATACTCTGCCACTTCCAAGAAATCTTTTCTCTTTTTGTTTGCTTTGCTTGCCTCCAACTATTCACTGAGGACAACCCTTTCCCTCCTTCCTCTTGCAAGGAAATTGTCAGTTCCTTTGACAAACCATTTGTCCCCCAAATTGTCAGCTCTTTATATACCCTAGACTTAACTTGGAAGTTCAGACTTGACTAACTGCCAAATATAAGCCAAAATTTTGCCCAAGTGACTGTTTTTTATGTAAATGTCCCCCAAAACACAATCTGGTCACAGACCATCGTTTAAGTTTTCTTTATCTTACGCTCCAAGTTCATTAAGAGGTCTGCAACCTGCAATAAATCCCTCTTCAAATAAAGCTACTGAAAATTGAAACTACTAGCGTTTCATCAGGCTTGAGATGTTTATTATGAATGACTGGCACAACTCTGGATAGGCCTTCAAATATATTTTGGTTTTGAAGGCAAGCAGTTATGAGGAACTCTAGCAGCCGCAACACCAGCTGACTAAATCCATCACTTCCCTATTGACACAGAGGGCTAATTTCCAAATGACACAGCCACAGTTTTAATTATGGAAAAATAAACTACTCTAAAAACAGTCTGTCCCCTCAAAACTGGCCTGACGGCCACAATTATATCTCTGATCATGTTCTCGTCAGTCTAACTGCTGCATCGCATTTTGCAATGAATAGCTAAAAGGATATTCTCTTTCATTACTTCTGAAATTTAAATTTATTAACAACTTCTCTCACAACATACACACTCCTAAGACCCTGAGAAAGAACATGCTGTGAAAACTATTTTGTGTTTACCTGCCTGGAAAACTGTATTCACACAGAAATTTAAATTAAAGTTAGACCTATTTCACTGTGGGTGGGGAGGAACTAATTTAATCCTCGATTGGAGAAAATGCAAATTGAGGGTCTTCATATGCAAATTTTATATAACAAGAAAAAAGAGTCTCCTGCTGAAAAGAAAACTAGAGATTAGCATTCTGTGGGCAGGCCTACACTTTTTACAAGGTTTTCAGTTAGGTTTAAAGTCTACACTGCAACCACTGACGACAACTAATGGCACAGGATTGGGGCTGTCCTGAACAAGAAATACCTCCTTCAACAAAAGTGAAGCTAAAATGGGGAGCGTCAGGGTAAGGGAGGAATATTAAATATTCTGGGTAACACACTAACATGTAGTAAATATATCAAGTCAAAAACAAGTGTATTGCTGCCTACTTTTTAATTACTGTTTCAATGGTGTTTTAAGAAAAGTGAATTCTTGTTGACTTATAATAAAAAGAAAGCTCTGGTATGGTCTTCTATTTTTATCTTTTATCTCATGATCAATACAATTAACTATCAAAAAGACATACCGATGCTGAATTTAGTGTTAAACACAGTATTTGTGGTTCACAATAAAATTTGCGTTGTACCATACAATGAGATAATAGGTGACGTTCCCAGGACGTCCAGCAGAGAATGTTTCCACTTCATTAGCACAATATAATAACGGAGCACCTGTTCGATACCAGAAAGTTTTGTTTTCAGCTTCTTTCACGGGCCAGTATCAGTAGCTGGCACTGTTTAAACTCTCCTAGACATTCTTATTTAAATTGTGGGATTATACTAAAGCATCAGGTATAACCAAGCTACATTCATCTTAAAAAGGATCAAAACTGACAACAGTGAATTCCAGACTCAGGTTAAATTATCACTATTTGCTGAAGATGGAGGGTTAACACATTAGAAATACAACCCGCAGTAAATTTACAGCAGCCACCCACCCTCTATCCCAGATGGCTGACCCAGCCTAGCAAAGACTTTTAGTTGCTGTTTAACCAGTAGAGCAGTTTGGAAACTTTTCAACTGAACAGTTTTGTCAGGAAAAGTCCCCAATTCATCAAACTGTTAATGTGTTGCAAAAACATCTCGATTTGAACAATTTTTTTTTTAAAACCTATCACAAAAAGCGTGGCAAAGGAGGGCAAATTTCAGTCATCAGACACGTGGGGACAGGGTGCACCACTGAAAATACTGTGCACCAGGCGTTCAAACAGCTTCTCTGACCCTGGATTTCATTTCAACTTAGAATTTCTTATGAACTGGAAATCCTGGGTTCCAGAAAGCCTCTCATCTGTGAAAATTTGGGCAGAAACAAAAGTGTTTCCATAATCACCCATCTATGCACATTAGCAAACATCTATGACATTTTCATAAAGATGGTCTCTCTGTCTACTTTTAAACAACCACAGGTTGGGAAGGCTATATACAAGGCAACAGCTTGTCTTGCAACAGGACAACCAAGGGAGGAATGAGATCTGGTTCTTTTCAGTTTGTAGCACTATGAACTGAATCACAGACCCATGCTGACTTGCTGTGCTACAAAGTCCTGACTCATCTAACAGGCAACAAGGGGAAATCCATGGATTTAGGAGCAATCTGAAGCTGAGGCATCATAGGGGAAACCAAGTTCCTTCATACAACTGCCAAGGCTTTTTTTTTTTTTTTTTTTGGTCCAACTCTCTTAGCTTAACCTCTACCCAGCCCACAATGTTAACAATGCCCCATATAGTATCACTCTCATCTGCACTAGAGGCAAAGGCTCCATTTACAGAATCATCATAGAGAGAAAACTTTTTAGGGGAACATTTTCTTCTCAGTCTGGTTTCCCCTTGTCCATTACTTTACAGTAGGGAATAGTCACCAATGTGGGTAAACGTTTTCTTGCTCCTTTAAGAAACCTATTAAGTAAATTCATCTATTATTAGAAATCGATTTAGCAGAAGGGAATGATCGGTCTGCCACAGAACATGAGACAATTCATTTATTCTTTCATGCGCTTAAAATGGCTTACAGCAATGGCTTGAATCGTGGCCAAGTAGATAAGGGCAAGTTCATCCAGACCCCGAGACAATGTTAGTCCAACAACCTGTGTGAAGATCAAAAAGAAAACGTACAAATCTAGCCGAGGTAAAACTCCATTATTTTCTGTGGTTTCTTGGTGTAACAAGTTTAAGTGCTAATTCTACGCCTTATTTTTGTGAGATGTACACATAATGTTATGTTAAACATGTTATTCCTGATCTGGAGAAGAACCACATAAATTACTCTTGCCCTTGCAAGAACAAACAGTATATTGTACGGGATTAGAGTTAGATTATCTCTGACAGTTTTATGTTATGGCTCAGATATTGCTTGTGAATGTATTTAACGTAATAGTATGAACATAGTATTACATAAAAATAACATTTTAAAAGCCCTTCTCCTCCCCCCTTCCAAGCACCCTAACACCGAGAGACAGTTCATAATTAAGGACTATATCTTAACCTCCTTTGCTCTGACATAAATTATACTGGATTAATATCAATATAGGCAAGACGTGAATGCAGCCATAACTCTGGCAGGAAAGATGCATTGCTATTATCAATATTTGCATAAGGTCATCATACCAAAGGACATTCTGATTCTGCTGCAGCATATATTTCTTTCATAAAATAATGCAGTTCTATTTAGGACCCAAAAATATGTAAGTCATCTACATTTTTTTTAATGTTTCCTTGGTCGGTGGTTGAAAATGTGTTGCAGTTCTTGAAACTACCTTTTTCTACCTCAGTCTCAAATACAGCAGATTTTGGTGCTGGTAAGTAGCTTGAGATACTCACTTCAAGGACAACATGCCAATTCAAAGTGCATTTTTGCACTAATCACCAGGTAGATACATTGATACCATCAAATTATACCATTATGGTACTCTTCTGTCATGGTCCTGCGCAGTAACATCCTGGCCTGTGGCTTAGCTGATCTGCCACCATGAGGTTCAGTGAAGAGAAACATCCAAACGTTTAAATATGAGCTGAAAATCTGACCAGTGGAGGTTTCCTGCTGAGCTTCCAAAAGCTGCTCTTTTTGGTTCTAGATTTTTAAACACTTTGATTTTGAATGATACACTTTTCTAGATTGTTGAACACTCTGAACACTTCTTTTATAGAACGCAATATTTCAATACTGGCCTTTGAGTTCCAGAAGCAGCATTTTTAATACCACAAGCCAGAATCAGATTGGGTTCAGCTCTGAACAAAGATGTATGAAGCACCACGGTTGCTTATTTCTGATCATGAGAGAACGTACACCCATTTTTAATAATAAGCATAGGAGCGTTCCAGTTTCTGTTCAAATTAACCACCCAGCAACTTAAATAGTGTTAGTTTACTCAACAGTCACCTGTTTAAATTAAACAATCTCTCCTCAGAATACTTCATGCGTTTTCCAGTTATGCTTAACCAATTTTGTGCTGAAACCCATTACAACAGAAATGTAAAATTAGGCAGACAGGTGAGTTTACAACAATAGCAAGCATTGCTACTCAGTGTTCTGAAATGTAATTCCTACGAAAGGTACTGGGAGACACCCACACACCTCCTCATATTTTTAGAAAATAAATGTGGCTCTAGCGATATCTGAAGTATCCTGATCTCTGGTTTTCTACTGAAACATTAGCACACTTCAAAATACAGCAAGAAACCAAAACCCTATGGGATAGTTTGAATAGCTAAGGAGGAGTGTGTTTAAAATTAAAAAAAAAAAAAAAAACTCCTTCCCAACTTTTTTTTTTACCCTGTATTGACCTTTTTGCAAAGACAGACTGTTTCTTACCATGCCCTTTAGTGTCAGATCTGTTAAGGGAGATCTGTTACCATGGAAATCTGGCCAAACATGTAAATCAACAGTGAGGAAACCCACAGGCAAAGATTTCTTAATCAGATCCAGGTGACTGTTCAAGTATGTATATATACTTTGAGAACTAGAAGAAAAACAAGTTGGAAAAAAAAAGAGTGAGAGAGGTTATTCATCAAACATAAAACATTTGCACCTCTACTACCAAACGCAAAAGAACCATCAAAGAATCCCCAATCCCAAATATAAAACAAAGGAGGAGAAAGACAAAACCGCTGCTCGCCCAGCACATGGCATTGCAGAGTGTGGCTAGCAGGGGCATCTCTCTGCGCTTGCATTCCACGCA